GAATCATTACGGATTCTTGCACCCTCTCCTCTCTCCCGTTTTGTTCTTGGTCAGGGCAAGTATTCTTCAGATAAGTAGTTTCCACTGAATTTCTTTCAGTGTGACGGTGCTGGTTAGCGGACGCTCGTTGGGTGGTTCCTACTTTCCAGGGTTGCCATGGATACCTCCTAGCGGCTTATGACTTTGGCATCCCGCTAACCTTTAAGGCACCAGTTCCCAAGCTCATCTATTTGTGATGAGTTTAATTTTTTAAGCCCTGATAAACATGGATTTGTTTCACATTTTCATTTGCTCATTTGATTGTCTTATAATTTCCTTTAAAATTGGTCAGAGTGATTATGTAAGATTTAATGGTAGGACACTTGATTAAATGGTTAGAGGTTTATTTGTGTTTTTCTTTTGCAGATACCATGGTCCAGAGAGTGTTCACACAGCCATGAGGTATTACTCTAATTTAACTTATTGTGGTATTGTTTACTTGTTAATTTGAGTATTTTCTATTTGATTTTTAATGTTTTAGAATAACCATCAACTGTTCCATGTTCTTTATTCACAGTTTCCATCTTGTTGCAAGGGCAAAAGCTTGTGTAAATGATTATCGAGCAGCACTAACTGCAGAGAAGACAGCTTTCACCATATACAACAGCAAGGTTGTTAAATAAATCTATTGTACTACAGAGTGTTTCCGGATTGAGCGGTCCAGGTTCGAGCCCTAGTGGGGGACATTGTGTTATGTTCTTGGGCGAAACACTTTACTCTCACAGTGCCTCTCTCCACCGAAGTGTATAAATGGGTACTGGCAAACTTAATGCTGGGGGTAACCTAGTGTAGAAATACTCCTACTTGCTTCATGCTACAGAAACTGGGATAAGCTCCGGCCTGATGGGCCACTTGGCTCATATGCAGACTTTACCTTACTACTATTCAGTGCAACCAATATTTTTGTCAACCTTTTTATCCCTCCAAGACATAAATGATTATGTCTTACATGTATTTTTGTTTTGACAGTTTGGTGAAGGAGACAGTCGGACAGTGGAAAGCTCAGAATACCTCAAGCACTGCACACAACAGGCTGTCCTTATACAGAAAAAAGTAAGTGTTTTACTACCCTCCCCCTGGGGTTATGACCATGGCCATTGTCTTAGTTGATATTCTTGGCCAAAGCAGGCACCTTAGGCTCACAATGCCTTCCTGCACAGTAAATGGGTAAGCCAACAAGTCAAGTCTTGAATGAAACTGATTATGACCATGGCCATATTGTCTTTGTTTGTATTCTTGGCCAAGGCCACTTCACTCTTACATTTGCTTCCTGCACCTAGTGGGTGTAGGAAGGCAAATTTTACGCAGGGCCCCTTTCGATACCAGCCTATGGCTGATGGGGCTACCCTGCCTAAATAAAGATGAATTGACTTGAATGACTAATGGGTAAGCCTACAAATTACATATCGAAGTGGAGAAATGCAGCAGGTTGACAAACTAGTGTCTCCTCCAGGGGGGAGTAGCATGAGAGTTATGAGACTGCTGACAGTGTTAAACCTGTGCAATGTACATGTATGCCACTTTTGATGGCTTCTATTCTAACTAATTCTCTCACAGCTGAATGAGATTTCTGGAAGAGGAACAGTCAAAGATGCTGATAATAAAAAGGCTTCAGGGGTGAGTCAAGTCCAGCTAGAATTTCTCTTAGATGGTGTGGTGACACCAGGGTCATCTGTCTCCTTTGATCCCTTGGATTAGAACCACTTTGCATGTGCAATTCCAGTGGACCTTTGTTGGAGACCGTGTAGAGCTGCTGTTAGCCTCGTTATGCATTCTTGTGGGTGCCTTACCATAGAATAGCACGATTTCTATTACATGTATTTCTAAATGCTGTAATAAGTGAATTTTGAAACTTTTATCATTCATACTGTCAGATATTGTTAATTATTATATGGCTAGCTTCATGAGCAGGTAAGATAAACAAAATGCTGCACTGTGATTGGCTACCTGAGTGGGCAAGATGGTGCTAACTTGTCCGCTTGGGACTTCCCGCTATGTCCAGTGAGAAAAATTTACCCAAAAGCCATATAATAAATCTTTTATTGACCAAGCTTGTTCAGTGGATGTTTCTTTTTGTGTGTTTGTGGATCAAGACAGAGTCAAGATCCATAAACTCACAAAAAAAGGATGAAGTGATATATCTAGCCATCTTGACTGAACAAGCTTGGTCAATAACCCATATTTATCACTTTATGTATTTTGTTCTTTCTTTTCATTGGCTGAGAGTTTACCACATCATCTGCAAATTGCTGCTTACAAAATAATAGTCTGCTCATGCACATTCCTGTCGTGCAATGATTTTATTGCAAATTTAACAGTGTCTTGCCCAACCTTCTCCAATAATAATTCTTAATTTATTTGCATGACTTTTTGCCAGATTTCTGTGTTGCCACCTGAGGAGGAAAACATCTCTCAGCTTATGGGATACCTCACAGGTCTTCAAGGAGTTCCACCGACCTCAGGAACATCACCTATCAAGTATGCATTTCACAGATATCTCTTCAAGAACATTGTTGCAATAATATTAAGTCATTTCACACATTACCTTCAAATTTAACATAATCTTGAAATAGAAGTTGACAAAGGTTATCAGAATTTTGAGAAGTGGTGTCTGTGACAACCATGATCTTACTTGACATAGTTGTGACATAGTCTCTTGGCAAGTGTGATTATTGATTTTTGATCTTTTGTTTTTTTAGGAGTAGTTCTGCAGAAGTAAAGATTTATTCACAAAATACAAATGAGGCAGCCCAAGATTTGCTTAACAGTAACCAAGCAGAGATTTTGGATCAGATGGACTAAACAACTATAACTTGGAACTTTTACCAATGACACTGTTTTGGTGCATTTCAATAAATGAGCCTGTAGTAAGGTTCAGACAATTACAAGTTTAATATGGCAGTGCCAAATACAGAAGGGACATGCGTGGTGTCAACTTATTCATTGATGGGAAAATAATCAGTTCATTGGTTTCCTCGAGTCAAAGTTTGATATTGGATGGTTGGCTTGCTCACCCAGCTCTAAGTGTGTTCATGGCTGTTTTACGGAGTGACTGTACTAATTTTACAAAAGGTTTCGATTGACTATAATTTTCAAGGTTATGGACATTTTTTTCAAAATAATTGGTGCAACAATGACAGTCTTTGTAATAATTGTAATTTGAGATGCTTCGTAGGATTAAGGGCATCCAAAAGAACTTTTTGCGAAAAAATAACTTACAGTTTTTATTTTTGTCCAGATTTTACACAAATAATTAACTGTATTTTGCATGATAATATAAAAGTCATGTTGAATGTTCTTGATCCTGCAATGCTTCAGTTGTTAATAATTTTTACTGTCAATGGCAGGGGCTTTTGAGTAACCTCAATGCAGCATTTTTTAAAGTCTCTGTATTCAGTCAACACTTTCTTGATTTTGATTTCCGTACCAGTGACTTTTAAGTATTTATTGTTGTCCATTTTTGGAAGGTTCTTGACAATTGACACTGTCCATCTTACAGTGTCTTTTTTGCCCAGTAGGGAGGGGTGACAGTGAATATGGTGTTAAACAGGTCTTTCATTGTTGTTGCAACTACTGCTGTTAATGGGTTTGTTTAAATTTTTTATATGAAAGGTAACTGGAGAGACTAGGTTAGGAATTGTCAATCTTGGTAATCACCTGATTCTTTTGCATATTTTCTGATGAAAAATTAGTTTAGAATTTATTTATTTACTACTGGAACTTTCTTAATTAAGTGACTAACCAAAATA